GGGGCCCAGACCACAGCCCCGCGGCCGGGTCGCCTCCCCGCCGCCCGCCTTGTGCCCCTGCCAGGCCCGGGACAGACTCCGGCGATTTCATTGAGATCAAAATCTCGGAGCCTTCACCCCCCGCCCCGGACCCGCACCCCTCTGTAAGGCGAGAGCAAACCCGCGGCGGCGGCTCCCGCGCCAGGTGAGACGCCACAAGAGCGGCCCGAGGGCAGGGCAAACCGGCCACTGCCCGGGCCCACACTTCATACAAATGCAAATTAATTACGCTGAGTATTTGTATTATCAATATTGTATGAAGATACTGTCACTGCAGTTGCATGGAGAGGCCGAAGTGCAATTGAAATCGAAAATGTCCCACTTGCTTATAGGCCATTGAAATTAAGCCTCTAAAGGGCCCCAAATGGCTCTCTTGCCCAGGGCCGCAGCTACCCTAAGGCCCCCACTGCCCCCAGCCAGGCCTGGGTGTTTAGCGCCCCCGTTCAGAGGGCCTCCGAGAGAAGCAAAAGGGACAATACGAGGGATCATTTCAAACAGGCAACGACCACGGAAGAGAAAAAACCAAACCAAACCAAACCCCAAAGTTAATATTCACTGCATTTGTAGGCATGGAGCTGCACGTGGATTTTGGATGAAATTTCCCTGATCTTTTTTTTTGGGTGGGGGGGGGGATAGGGGTGCAGCATTGCAATAAATGCACCCCAGCCAATCTCTGATCATTTGGTAGTTTTCATATTTGCATTTTCCGGGTATACTTAATATCAACGTGGCAAATTTCAGCAACAGAGAATATTTACACAGCTATTTTTCTTCTTCAGGGACAAGGGGTCCCCCCTCCCTCCTTTTTTTTTTTTTTTTTTTTTTTGCTATAAAGCAAACCTTTTTGGTAGAGAAAAAGCACCACAGAAGCTTCCGACATATGGAAGAGCTGCCTTGGCAGCAAAATACTTGGGTTTTTTTTGTACTGTTAAATAGCTTTTGTGCTATAAACCCAATACAAGCCATCCCCAGTTATAGGGAGTTTGGAAATGGGAATCACACACACACACACACACACACACACACACACACACACTTACTGCGTGCAGTGGATCAAGGGAGGCTGCTGGGCTGGACTCTTAGTAGATCCATTTTCTTCCTCATTTAAGCTAACATATGCTAAATTCTGCAGCACCCCAATGTCCACCTTGAGAAGCAGGCCCCACACCCAAAAGAGGAAATAGCAAAGCACCCACTGACTTGAATGGTGCCTGGTCAGCTCTCAATTTGCCCGTCTCATCTGCAAGTCCCATTGAATAAAAGATTTCGAGTGGCGGGTCACTGGTTTTGAGAAGCAGCTTGTTGTATATCACTGATCACCTGCCCTTAAAATAATTGGTCCAGCCACTGCCGCAGCCTGGATGAGAATGACACAATGTAAGTCTGGTTACTGGAGACAGCCAACGATGAAAATACTGGGTCTGTAAATTATTCTGAAGATAAAAGCTCTGAGTTTTGGGGGTTTTTTTTCTATTGAGCAGGACTTGGAAAACTGAATGTCTGTGAAAGCATTTGCAGGTCTCCAATACATTTTGCAAATTTTAGTGCAAAAGATGCCCCACCTGAAAATCCCTGTCACCATGTGAGTTTGTCAGTATTGAATTATTCTCCCTACTTACACGATTCAACCACCCAGGGCCAGATTCAAAGCTCAGTGAAGCCCCCACAGCCGACTGAATCTACATCCTTTCATTCACTTCACTGGGATTTTAAAATCAGGCTGTCACAGAGAGATCAAGCCCAATGCCACATGATGTCAGTGACCCATCTTACAGCACACAGGGCAGGGATTGCCTCTGTGTTGTGTGGAGCATGGGTTGCTAGGCCAGACCTAAAACCCTTCCCACACACACTTTTCTTTATGCAGCCTGATGGGATCAAACATATTAAAAGAAATGAAATGTTTAAATGGCCTCTGGAGATTTCTTGGACAATGCACCAACCTTGTGACTTGCAGTTAATATATGCAAGCCCTTCAGCACAGCCAGTGCTGCTGCTAGGATGATTCCCAATGACTGGAAGAAGTGTCGTATTGATCCCATTGTTTCCCCTTCTCCTAGATGTTCTCCCCTCTCCACCTCTGGAAGCAGCAGGACAGTCCAGAGGATTTTGACTGCATGCCTGGTCTCTCTGTGCACTCTCCTGGGAGCCATCTCTCTCGATTTAAGCAGCAGCTTGGAGATGTGGAGAAACACAGAGCGGGCCCTTCAGGAACTATCCTCCTGTGAGAGCCTTCTGGCTGTTCACCTGATAGGCTTCCTCCAGGAAGAAAGACTCAGCTGGCTAAAACCAGCAGCCAAAGGGTGGAACGGTTCCTGGCATGCTCAGGTACTGGAGAGGCTCAGCTCCCTCTGCAGTGAGACTGAAGAGGCACTGCATCATCCGAATGGCCAATGCCAGGGTGAGGAAGGCTCTGTCTGTGGGTTCTACCTGGCCCAAGTGAGACAAGGACTGAATGCCACCTGGGAGGTGGAGCCCAGGCTGGCACTGTCTGGAGTGATCTCAGAATTGCTGGAGGTGTTTGACAGCCCCAGTGAGGACCTCAAAGCCATGAGATCCAACCCTGACTGGGCCGATGTGGTGTCCTTTCGACTCCTCCTCAGAATCAGGGAAGTCCTGCTTCGAGCCCAGGAGATGCCAGAGGAACCATCACCTCCGAGCTTCCAAGAATCCTGGCATCCCATGTCCGCCATTCTGAACTATGCCATCTTCACCTCGGAGAACGTGCAGAGCTGCTGGATGGAGAACAGGAACCTATCGCTCCATTTCACCCACTATGAAGGAATGTCCCTTTTTATCCCCTCCTTGGTCTCATCCCCACTGGTTCCAAGTGCAGCCTTGGCCGAGGAGCTCAATCATATCCAGAGCTGCTTGCTGCAGAGAGGGCAGGACAAGCTCAGTAAGAAATCCAAGGCAATCCTCTCCACAATTAGCCTGAAGATCAGTCTGCTGCTGATTGCCTGCCTCATTTATCCCATTGTCCTGGTGTCCTTCAAACGGATGACAGACTGGATCCAGAATTATGCCAGGAACCTCAAGGAGAGGACAGAAGACTTGAAGAGGGAGAGGAGGCTGGCTGAGGACCTCTTGCACCAGATGTTGCCAAAATCTGTGGTCAAGCAGTTGAGGAAACGCCAGCACGTTCAGGCAGAAAACTATGACCAGGTAAGTCAATAGTGTCAGAGGAGAAGAAGTGAAAGGCAGAGACACAGTGCCCTGGATCTGAATGTACTGTCAGGAGCCTCTACCTGGACGCCATGTCCACATGCCTGATTTCGCACCCGCTAGTAGTTGTGGGGAAAAATCTTGCTCCTTTAACAAATGCTTCAGGAAAGGATTGGTAGGTTTGATGGAGGGAGACTTTTAGAAATCAAGCTGCAAATTCAAAAGGTCCTGAGCCTACAGACTCTTTTGTTTGAGGGTGAAGGTCCATCCACATGGATCCAGGATCGGCTTGGAGGATGGGGTGCTGAGACTGTGCCAGCAAGAACTAACCTGCCTGGAAGAAAAGCCATTGTGACAGAATGGTCCAGATCTGCCCCAATTCCACCTCTGCAGCTGCATGTCAATGGGTTGCATGGAAGCAGCCAAAATCAGATGGCAGGTCTTTGGGAGGAAGGCAAGATTGCACCTAGATAAGAGGTTTGCAGGGATGGGACCAAAGGCAGGATTTGGCCAGAAATTCCTTTCTGCGCACCTCTTTGCAGCATCCCACGCTCTGTTGCTAATGCTGTGCTTAGTAGGTCAAACTGTGCACACTTGGTAATTTTGTTCTACCCCCTCACTCCCTCTGTCCTGTCAAATCAATGCAAGGAACTGCCAGAGGATTCTCTATAGCATGGCTTGCATAAAGCCTAGTAATTGAGGCTTTAGGTTCAGTGAGCCATCTGCCTGGCCCTGAAGTGAGCTCCTTACTACAGTTACTGCAATTCCTCTCTCTCCTTTTCCCTGGACACTCATTGCTTTCAGCTGCCAGACACAAGAATCAATATTTGCATTTAATTTCTAGGTGTTGTTACCTACACAGCCACCCATAATTAGACAATTATATGCAATTAACCATAGCAGTGTGATCAAAAGCAGCAAAACCAAGGCAGAAGGGGCTTTAAAAAAACCCGATGTGGAATTAATTGCTATTAAAAAAACCCCAACAGTTGGAATTTAAGGTTTTGACAGCTTAGGCAATACTGCAGGATAATTAACACATTCCATTTTTCATTTGAGTTCTTAATAGGCATCTTGGTTTAAAAAAAAATTAAACTCCTCTGTCATTTTTTGATCAATGTAATAGAAGAAAATTATGTGAAAAAAATCCATAGATAATATTTCCCAATTAAATAAGAACAAGGAAATAAGCTCAAGTGTTTATTCCTGAGGACATCTGCATCCTTTAATTCACAGTTTTGATCAATAACAAAAACCAGCCTCTTTTCTGTAAGAAGCCTAATTCAAGATCTGATGGCAGTAGTGCATTTCATTTTAAATGCTTTCTTCTGGTCCAAAGAATTCAAGGAGATGCAAAAGGGGTGCATCTACACATGCCATTAAGGCAACGTGATAAACTCCAATGCAGTTTGCACTTGTGCCTGAGTTAGCTACTCCTGGGTGCAACATCTACATGTGCATCTGGGACTGCAGCAGTTTGAGCTGAGGTGAAGCAGCCCCAGCAGCTGGCAGGGGGGATAGCTAGGGCACAAGGGTGCTAGAGTGTGGTGCTAGACAGCAGGCAGCCTCCACACTTTGGCACCCTCATGTCCCAGCCAGCCCCATCACCATCCTTATGTACCTTTCAGTGCATGCAATTACTCCACCATAGGACAGTACTGTCTCCAACAGTACTATCCTACAGCAGAGCGGGTTAATTTACTGCACCCCAATACCAACACATGCATAGACAGTGATGCTTTACTGTGGAGCTAATTAGTCAACTCCACATAAAGCACATGTGTAGATGCACCCAAGATGCAACAAAACTCCCTGGAAATAAATGTTTCTGCTAGCCCTCCAACCTAAAAGAAAACACACCCTGAGGGCCTGATCCATAGTCCTTGCTCAAAGGAGATAGTTCTAATATTGAACCAGAAGAAAGTAGGGCTGGAAGGGACCTGCAAAGGTCATCTGGTTCAACCCCCTGCTCAAGGCTAAATGATCCCCATCCAGACCTCTCCATACAAGTGCTTGTCTAACATATTCCTAAAACTATCCAAGTAACTCTTTCACACAGCTACAAGGCTGATTGCCCCTAAACACCAAGAACCCCCTAATCTGCCAGAGATAAAGCAGGGGAACAAGTGCACTGTCAATGTCCTGCTGCTGCAAATGTTGTTAAACATATTTAAGAGATTCAAGTCAAGCCCTCCTGGTGGGATCTAAGAGGGGCAAATGCATTGTGCTGCCCCTTTGCATATGGGTGCACTTCACTCCATATCCAGGAGTTTCAACTGCCCTTGATTGTCATTAGGCTTGGAAAAGCCTGAGATCCATCTTCACTGCTGTTATGAATATACAGTGGGGTCACCCTGACTGAGTGAGGAGTGCAGAATCAGGCCCCTTGATTTGTGTTTTGTATGAGAAAGTAACACTTCCCAAGGTACACCTGACCCCAGACCTGCAGCCTCATGGCCTCCATCTCCCTGCTCCAGGTAACCATCTTCTTCTCTGACATTGTGGGCTTCACTGGCATCGCTGCCTCCTGCACCCCCATGCAAGTTGTTGAGATGCTTAATAACCTCTACATCTGCTTTGATACCAGGATCGAGTCTTACGACGTTTACAAGGTGATTGAAAGCCTTGGGTTGATGGGGAAGGAGGAGGGGATCCTGCATGCTGGGCCTCCTTGCTTGCTGGTGAGAAGATCCCTACTACCACCACCCCTCTTTTCAGTGATAGCAAACACTGCTGCTACTGCCTGAAGTCAATTTTCCTTCAGCCAGAGCCCCCTGCCTACAGTCGATCCACACACTTGTCATAGAACCACAGAGAAGTGGGGCTAGAAGGGACTTCCAGAGGTCATCTAGTCCAACCCCTTGCCTGAGGCAGGACCATCCCCATCCAAACCATCCTCTGCCTTCCATCACCTAAATTCTACATAAGACAACCATCAACCCAGACAACACAGGCATATCACCCTAACCTGCCATCGGTAAAGTAGGGGAACCACAGAAGCCAATGTCCTGCTTCTCTGAAGGGTTATACCTGGAAGCTCTTCTCTTAGGACACTAGCTTGCATGAACTCTTTGGGAAGCAGATGACAAACCTCTGCAGAGACTGTACAAGCCTGAGTGAACCCATCACCAGAACAGGGCAGGAGGTAGGGCATGCTTGAGCCAGGTGGAACATGCAGAACTCCTAGCAAACTACAGGCAAGTCTTTCCTAGGGGAGAACTCTCTCCCTTCCCTGGAGATGGACATTGAGCTGGTGAGTCTGTGACACAGCTCAAAGCAATAACAGCCTAATTCACTGAACCCCCCTGAGTATTGCAGCACCAGCAAAGAGCTAATGCAAGTATAAGATTGCAGACAGTATGACCACACCATTGTTAGAATAGCTATGGCTCCTACCTGGCTCCTGTGGAAATCCCTATCCATCTCAGGTGCTGGCTGTATTTCCCTTTCCCCAAGTTGCAAGCAGGTGCCTCTTATAACCTCCTTCTCCAGACAAGGAGACTCACCTGCTCTGATCAAACCAGGCTAAGCCTGAATCTGGCTGCCTCCCCTTTACTAGCTGTATTGAATTCCTGCCAACCCATAACTCCCATCAGCAGCTAAGGGATTGAATTGGGGGATTTAACTCTTAATGTCCTGGTTTCACTGGGATTTTCCAGCTGGTCCTTTAGCCCAGTGCTGAAAGGACCAAATCCCACACCTGTCACTCCATCATGGGTGACAGAGCATTCCCTGTAACAGGATGGGAGTGCCATGAGCTCAGGCAGCTATAGCATCCCTTTGCAGCATGGCTGAATGCGAGACCAGCTGCCTGGCAGGACAGGCATGATCCTGACCCATCATCCTGCAGAGAACATCTGGCCATGGGGCAGAGGGCAGGAGAGAGGTTAGGCTTCATCAGCACCAACAGCTCAGTGACACTTGTACCTTCCCACCAGGTGGAGACCATTGGTGATGCCTACATGGTGGTGAGTGGCCTCCCGGAGAGGAATGACAAAAGACATGCTGACGAGATTGCCAAGATGGCTCTGGATCTGGTGGCTGCTGTCCGGCAGGTCCTGATACCCCACATGCCAACAGGCCGGCTGCAGATGCGGGTTGGGATCCACACAGGTGGGGGCAGAGACAGCGCCTGGAGGGGACCCAGGATGGGGTGGGTGTGGGAGTCAGGGCTTCTGGGTGGCATCTGATGTGGTCCTGTGAAATCCATGCCTCTGGTGTCCTTCTCTGCACAGTGGGGGTGATGACTCTTTCCTAAACCTTGATTCATATTTGCAAAGGGTAGTGAGCTGCATGTGCTATCACAGTGCAAAGCAATCATAGCTGCTTGAGCCTCTTGCTCCAGCAGCATGCAGGTACCTTCAGCTTCTGCTAACTTTGGAGGCTCCCTCAGCCCCACAGGCCAGTCTCACTCAAGGGAGCAATATGGTCGCACTCACCTGGGTACCAGATGCCCCAGTCCAAATAACCTGCACAGATAGGGAGAGTAGTCTTCAAGAAGGCTTGAACTCCTACCCTGGTGCCAGAAAGACACTACCTTACCACTACACCCCATAACACTAATGCAGGTGTCTATAGCCTACTTCCCTCCAGGCTTTATGCTGTGTATTCTCCAACCCGGCATTCTCTTGCTCTGGTTTTCTACAGGACCCTGTGTGGCTGGTGTGGTTGGGTACAAAATGCCCCGCTACTGCCTCTTTGGGGACACAGTGAACACAGCCTCCCGTATGGAGTCCACCAGCCTGCGTAAGTGTACCCCCTCATGATTTGGCTCTGATCCCCAGCCCACCCTGGGCAGAGTCAGGCCAGACCCAAGTCAGAGAGACCCTCATATAATTTTAGCACTGGGGAAAGAAGGGAAAAGGAGAGAGAATCATGTGTAGCAAACACTTGAGCACATCACTCAGTGCTCTCCTTAAATTATTTAAATAGTAGAGCAAGGAAGGTAATAAAAGAACCAGAGAACAGAACTGCTACAGGAGGAGTATGAAGTAGGCAGGTGATGGATGCCTTTAAGGCACAAAGGTGACTGGTACCCTAGATATACACAGTCACTCTCAGAGCAGGTTTTCACTGTCCTGTGTATGTGGCTTACACTGCACCCTCTGCTCCAAAACCAGGGCTCTCCTTGTCTGGTGGACTTGCCCATCCAGCTCTTCACACTTCTGCCTTCAGCCCTGCACTTCCCAAGATTCACATATGCATCTCCCATTGATTTGAAGCCTGCAGTAACACTGAAGTGGGAGGGGTGATCTGCAGTGGGGTGGTCTGCTCACTTCTGATGCTCAGTCCTGAATTCCAGCTCAGAAGATCCACATCAGCTCTGCTACGTACCATGCCCTCCTTGCTCATGATGCCTATGAAATCGAGCTGAGAGGCGAAATCGAGGTCAAGGTATGAGTTTTGCAGTGACAGAAGGGTTTAACGGGGCAAGGAGGAAACACAGTTATGGATGGTTTTGCTCTTTTACCTGGGGTTGCTCCATGTGATCTCACAAAACCAGATCTCACAGTGGGCCTGGAGGGAGAACGGGATAGGAGGTCACTGGGGAGAACTCATGCCTTTCTGAAGCAAGTATGGGTGGCCTGAGGAGAGGACTCCCCCCTGTGAGAGCTCTCGAGGCCCTGTTGTCCTCTTGAAAGGAAGGTGGTTGTTCCAAGGGCTGTCCTTGGAGAAGACACAACCCTGAAGTTCTTTACCCGGTGAGAGCTGTGTAACAAAGGTCTGTCCCATGGGTGGCTGCGATACTCCCTGGTGGCTACTCAGTCCTTGCTTTTCCCTGATCTTCCACTTCTGTTCCCCTACCACACCTTGATGTACTTATTCCTTTAAGAAAAGGGAGGCTGTCCCAGGGATTCCCAAATGAGCTCTCATCTGCTCCTGTCCTACACCGGCTTGAGTCTGCTCTGGTTCGGTCCTTGAGCCCACCCTGGCTCTCACCTCTATTCCTGGGTACCTGGTCCTCCAGGGCACCAGACCCCTCTGATCCTCCCTCCCCAACCAGGCATCAGATCTGCTCTGGTCCCATCTCCATTTTACTCTCAGGTACTTAGTCCCACTTGGGTACCAGACCCTCCTGGTCTTCTCCAGGCCTGGGTCCTGCCTCTGCTCTATTGCAAGCACCTGGGCCCACCCTGGTCCTTTCTCCTCACTTTATCCAAGCTCTAGCCCTGCTCCCAGGCCTGTTGGGACCTCCTTCTCACCTTAGTCCCTCTCAGACCTATATATGTTACCTATATGTCTGTAATCTCATATGTATTATTCAAAGGCTGCAGTCATCCTGCCCAGAAGATGTTCTTTCAGCAGCCTGCAGAGCTAGGCTGCCTGCCTAGCTCAGGCCTTGGCTTATATATTGCAAGCCCAGGCCCCTTCTGGCTCATGTGACTCCCGATTGTCACCTGCCACCTGCTTAATTTGCAGCCTGCCTGTTCTTAAAATAGCAGGAGCATCAAGCTTTCTGCTACAGGTCGTTAAACTAGCCTGCCACTTTTCATGCCCAAGTACCAGTCTTCACTGAAGCTATCAGACCCAGTCCCAACTGTTGTCAGAATTTCATCCTGTCGTTTGAATGGGATGGGGCAAGTCTCTTCCCAATGGGCCTGCCATGCTGATGGGCATCATTAAACACAGGTGCCAGGCCCAATTCATGTGCCCTCACTTGTGCAGATGAAGTGATGTGATTTTTTCCTATGGCCTAGCGATGCACTGATGTGGCTGGGCAGCTCGGGCACATCTGGGCAGCTCGGGGTTCCAGTTGCTGGCCTGATCATGAGAGCATAGCTGCTGGAGACAGCCATTTTTTTTCAGCACCAGAGGAAGTTGTCCCAGTGCCCCTGCTCTAGTTACACCACTACTAGGGACCCCTTATGGGTCGGGGTTGGGGTGGAGGGGGGCGTGTAGATATGAGTCACTACCAATGCACTGAAGGCTGCCAGCAGTTTCTGTAAGTACTTTAGTGAACTCGGTGAGATCTTTACTCGAAGCCCATCTCAGAAGTCTCCAGGTTGCCATGTCTAAGCTGGGGGTGTTCAACTTCTGGGCTGGCAGGCCAAATTGTACTCTGGGCACTGAGATCAGGACTTGGGATTAGGTCCACATGCTGGGGTCCAGCTCAGGGACTCCACATCACCCTCACCTGGCCTCATTCACTGGGATACAGCTCAGGGTCCCATGTTGCTTCCTCCCAGGCCCATGTGTGGGATCCAGCTCCAGCACCCCATGCCACCTCCACTCAGCCTCACATGCCAGGATCAGACCCCACGCTGCTCACCCAATCCAGCATGCAGGGCCACAACTCACAGTGCCTCCCATGGATCTGCGGGCAGCCCTGCTGGCCAGGTGATATGGTGCTGGGGACTAGATCTGGCCCGTGGGCTGTGGGTCAAGCACCCCTGATCTAAGCCCCATGCAGCTTCTGAAAAATTTCCAGAAGTTGGACCAGCCTCCCCTGAGACAAGGCCAGTGGGCAAATGCAAAGCGCATGTATTGGTGTTGTGCTGGCCATGGCACTGGTTTCATATTCCAATCGCAGCCAATGGAAATGGGGCTCATTCTCCCATCTCCCCATTTTCATCCAGGGCAAGGGAAAAATGAAAACCTACTGGCTTCTTGGGAATAAGAACTACAGCGTCCAAAACGACAGCCTGGTCTGTCACTGGAATCCAGCAGCTTCCAGGAAAAAGAAGCCGGAAAGCAGCCTGACATCTGTCCAGCAGGTACCGAATGCTGGGGAGGGTGAGGTACTCTGGAAATGGCTGAGACATGGGGTATCTGGGTTCAGAGGCCCTTGCAGTGTCCATCATGGCTTGGGAGGGACCTGTTTGTCCAATCCCCTGCAGCATTCAACATAGCAATATAGATCATCGCCCCGGTGTTGACCATACCTGCCATGATTCTTCTGTTCCCGTTTAACAGTCCAGTACCAGCCCTGTGGGAGCGGCAGTGACTGAACAGAGGTCTGCATCACCTCAGGGTGAGCTGGGTGCCCACAGCCCCACCACAGGACACTCTGAACCAGCTGGGACTTCTACCAGGGACACAGGCCAGGTGGGGAGGACCAGGTCTGGGCACAGTGACCGGGACAGCATCAAGACTAATCTGGCTCTATCGAGCTCTCCTCCTCCTGGGCACAAGGACCAGGGGAACAGTCCAGACCACAGGGTGCATCTTGGTGTGCAGGGAGACGAATTGCTGGGGAAAAATGGGTGTCTCCCAGGGTACATAGGTGGGACGTGACAGGGCGGCATGTACTATTTGGCAAGGAACTGGATGCCCCCAGGGCACCCTAACTTGCTGTTGAAGAACCTCATCTTTGTACCACTAGCAGTAATTCTGAACAATGGGGGAAGCCATTCAGCTTTAGACTATCAAACTTCAATAGAGATAGAGTATGTGGGTTGTGCCCACATGTGGAGCAGGTGAAGCCACTGTTGGGATCCTGTTACTAGCAGGGAAGAGAGGTGTCAGGGGACACATTTTACCATGTTACAGTCGATTTACACCAGTATAATTTCCTTCCCATCTGCAGAGCTAGGCTGGATTCACCCCAGAGCAGCAGAATGGAACGTAGCCCCGGACACTTGGATAACAAGGGTGCCCAGATAAGAGAGGGGGCAGGTAAAGAGGGGAGGCCCACTGTTCCCAGATCTCTGAGTCTCTCTAGACCATGTGCATGTGCTACAACAGGAAGCCCGGGTGGTGGGACCCACCCACAGCATTTGGAGCCTGCAGGTTGAAACTGCAGCAAAGCCCATGGAGATTACACCTCAGCCCGACTGCCAGAATGGTGGGACAGTAAAGTGAGCTGCCCAGAGACTCCCCTACCCTGGAGGGCTTCAAGAGGAGGCTGGCAGGGCATCTGTCTGGGATAGCACAGGAATAACACATGCAGCTTTTGCGCAGAGACTGGGCTAGGTGACCCATGAGGCCCTGTCCACCCCTCTCCAGCAGAAGTGACCACCCCACTCTACCTCCACCTGCCAGGTCACTGGTGGGCATCTGAGCTGTAATGTGTGGCTGCAGCTCAGCTCAGGGCCCGGGGCTGGAGGCTGGCATGACTGTTTAGCTTGCTTCTTTTCCACTGGCTGGTGGCAGCTGATGAACACTGCATGCACCTCTCACCAGGGCTCATTTGGAGACCCCCATGGCAGCAATGACCTGGGCCCCCATCAGGTGTCATCCGTTCAGGATTCATGGAAGGGAGGCAGGATGTGAAGTCAGGGTTCCTGTGTGTGCCCTGGGCTCAAGTCAAGCTGCAGGAGTTCTTTATCTTTTTGTTGCAATAAATGTTGCTCCACACTCCTCTTGCTAATGTGGTCTGTGGTGTCTCTTGGCACAGCCACCCCGTCACACCCTCACCAAGCTGATAATAAGGCTGTTAGCAGGAGGGCTGGGGTTGAGGTGCTCTCTTTGCTGCTCAGAGCTGACTGCAGACCCTCCCCATCAATGCCACAAGGCCCCTTCAGGGAGTACACATGGGTCAGCTTCCAGACAGCCCCCACAGCTGAGAGGAGGGGATCTCATCCTTCAGGGACTATGGATTCGTCTGCTCAGGGCCCGGGCCCTTTTGAGCCTACAGGCAAAGGCCTAACAAGATTCATTGGCTGGAAGCTGAGGCTAGCTAGTCAGCAAGGGGGATTCACACCAAAACATCTCTAAGTCTCTACCCCAAGCCTCACTATTGCATCCATCTCCCTTCACAGAGAAGCCTAGGTGCTTTTTTCTACATGATCCATTCCCACAGGAATGGATTCAATCAGGTCCCAGAGCCTGCTGTGCAAGACGGCAGACTGCACAATCCTGCTGGAGGACACACACTGTGGGACTGGGCAATGCACAGTGCAGTGGACAGACCCCATCCTTGGAAATCTCCAAGGAGCTGGGGTTAATCATATGATGCAGATGAAGTGGGAGCAAAGAGAGAAGATACTGAAGACCCACTGCTTTCCAGGCAGAGAAAGACAGTGCCTCAGGTGTGAAACTAGCAGCCCCAGAAGGTAAGCCATTGGGGAGCTGAGGAGAAGCAGCTGGGTCTGCAGGACAGCTGGGTTCAGCACATGATTGTTATGAAAATCTTGAGCATAGATCAGAAAGAAGCTATTAGCATGGTAAATAAGCCTAGTCTGATCTTCCCTCTTCAGAGGCCTCGGCGTGGGCTTTAATTTAGAAAATTGCGGAATACAGCTGTCTCCATGATGACAGGCAGCAATTAGTGTCATTTAGCGCAATCTACTTTGGTTCAGATCTGAGCCACTCGGCCATGCGCCGTTCCTGGTGTGGAGACGAGGGTTGGACTAACATGCAGCCTCTTTCTAGGGGATGGTCTATGCTCCTCTATGACTAGCTGAGTTGTGATTTAATGTGATTTCAGGGTTGCTTGTGCCTGAAATACAGCAAGGTCTGGGCTAGGTGAGGCCCAGGGCAGTTTTCAGGCACATAGAGGTTCTATTCTAGGGTCCTCGACACAGTACAAATAACAGGGTGAAAACAGACCCTGAAAGAACCCAATATCAGAAAGCAGGAGCTCTTCCCCCACAAGCCCTGCATTCGGGACAGTTACCATCACTACTCCTTTTAATGAGATAGCAAATGAAAAAAAACACAGGCAAGCCTCGACCCCACCCCCACGAGGATCCTGACCCTAAGTGAGATGCACTTGGCCAGCGCCTGCAAAGAAACAGCTCAGCCAGGCTGGGACCATCATTGTGGGACACACCTGGTGTGCAGCTGGGAGTTGAAACTGTTACAGGATTCGGTCCTGACACAGGCGCTTGCCACTTGGCTAAGTCCAGGCAATGGCTTGGGGCTGTGCTCAGCCTGTTCTCCTTTAACATGAGCAGTGCAGTGGGTGTGCATGCGTCTGCTCACAGTGCTCTCCAGTTTAACGAAGGCAAGGCCTCTTAGCCGTAAGGCCACTCTGCAGCCCCACAAGAGCAGGATTGATCCATACAGCTGTCCTGCTCATCACCCCCTTCCCATTGCTCAAGACGCTGAGAACCACAGGGAAGGAGGGCCCTGTACACAAGTCATCCTGGCTCTCTCCACAAATCCAGGCTTTGGACCTCTACCTCAGCATTTCAGCCAGCCTCCTGCCCCAAGCGCTTTGTTCTCCTACATGGAGCTGTTTGAAGAAGCACCCAGCAGATGGCAATAAAGCCCAGGCTGCGGAGCCCAGCAGTGTTTGTCTAGGCTGCCCTGAACCAGCCAGCGAACAGCCCAGATGCCCCACGGCAGCTTTGGAAAGCAGCTTGCTTTGCCAGCTGTGGGGAGTGTTAGCAAATAAAAACCTAGGATTGCAGGCTAGCCCAGGGATTGACATGACACCTTGTTCGATGAGTGACAGAAAGGCTTTATGTACTGCAAATATTTGAAGTCAAGTCAAGTGAGCTCAACAAAATCAAAGTCCAGTAATTAGCTATAAAGTGATGATTTCTCACCAAACAGGCGACGAAGAGGTGGTCTGTTTGTCTTCGACTTCTTGAGTAAGATGGGCACATCAGCAACTGGTGTCTGAGAGATTTTTCACTCTTGAAGCATGCGTGGTTTGCTGTTTTACTGCCTTTTTATACCCTTAGCATCTTCAAAGCATTCTTTCAGTTGTGTAAATCAAGAGAGTCCCAAGCAGTAATGGACAGGAAAATCCTGTTAATCAACCTACTCATTATTGGTTATCAGAAATCTTTCATTTGAATGAGTTACCTTCTTCAGTGATAGGCGGTGATCCAGTTTGGAACATATCAAACAGCTGATTAACAACCAGGAAAAACATGCGTGTTCTTAGAAAACAAGGTAAATCATGAGAGAAGAACAAAAACAAAACTAAATCATGAGGAGACACCTATCACATATAGGGAATGTCTCTTCCTGCACATAAACGTGAGTTAATCGCAAAAGAAATATTTACCATACTAATTAATCAAGGATAGACATTTCAGACGGTTACACACCAGACAACTAGGAGCCTGCCTGAAATCATCCTGAATATAGCAAGATAAGCTGGAAGAGATACCTCATTATTTCTTCTTAGATGGCCTAGCCATGAACTCGCATCCTCTTGCATTATGCAGTTAGCATCAGTATTCAGTATTTTAACTTTTGTGAGTAGGCCTGAGCTTAGCATGAGTTTGAGAGTCATCAGGGAGCAGGAGGGAAAGGGGTAGCCTAGGAGCACAAGCAAGGAGGAGAAGCTGAAGTCTCTGCCCTGTCACTATCTCCAAGGGTTCAAGAAAGAGCTGCCCAGGGCAGCAAGGTTAAATACAGCAATGTTAAAAAAGTCAAGGCTTTGGGGGTCCTTTTTCATTGTCTTTCTTGGTTTTGGATCCTCCTTGTTGAAAATTTTCCCTTTCAGAAGAAGGAAAGCTGAGGTCCTCCCCTACTCATGGGACCCCAGAGGTTGTGGCTTGCAGATAAGCACCAGCTGTTGCAAAACAAAGATCACAAGAGTTCACAGCACAGCCTTGAAGCCTGCCTTCCCCTGAGGAAGCCCCAGCAACGTGCCTGAAACACTTTCTGTGTATGCATCACTGGGGGCAGTAATCAGGCAAGTAGGGAATAGTGGAGCCAACTGAGCCCGGCATAGTGGGGCAGAACAGAGTGGGGTTTGGCTTGAAATGTGGTGGTTTTACCTTCAGCATTTTCCCCCTCCTCCCTGTCCCAGGCCTGATCTACCTGGCAAAGTTTTCCAGGCAAAGTGATGACAGCCGTGGGTCTGCAGAAATTATACCCTCTTGCAACTGGAGGCAGGGCCCTGTCTGGAGTCAGCACTGCTGACAGAAGACGGCTCCAGCCCTCATAATTTCTGACATTTTGGAAAGTAGCATAGCAAACTTGCGAGAAACCCCGTTTTTGCCACATGCTGCATCTCCGCTAGGGGTGTAGCCATTGTGCCTGCAAAGCTGCAGAGGTAGCACCCCTGCAGCACAGACAAGCCCAGATTCTCCCCACTGTTTTGCTTTCCTCCTTCATCCCTGAGGTAGGAGCCAGGCCTCCGGCACTCCTGCCCTGCCACTTGCAGCAGGCTGATGTTCAGGATGGCTAGCAGCAGTGAGCACCAGCATGCCTAGCTGCCCCCATGCCTAGCTTTGTAAAGCATCTGGAAACCACAGCAGACCACTGCCAAGTCTCTGGTTCTGTGCAGTGGCTAAGGGGCCAGAGAAATGTCCTGGCACCCACAGGAATGTGGGTCACAAAGCAAACCTGCCCGGGGTCCTTGACAGAGCAGCAGAGTGCAGCCCACCAGAGCTGGTTCTTCCCAGCCCTAAAGGAGAGAGACCCCAACACAGCCCATGGGATCCTCCTTTAGGAGGCAGGAGCCCTGCAACCCAGCCCCTGCTCAGGCCCCTGCTCTCCATGCCTTACGTGCTGGCTCTAGCTTCTGTGGAAAGCTTGGAGCATGCAGACCTCCAGCCCCTCTTGTTGCCATCTGCTCAAGCCCAGCAGGCTCTGTGTGGCAGGACTGTTGCTTTCAAGCCATCAATAACTCCAGTAACTCCCCTTTGCATGAGCAAGTCAATATTTTTAGCCCTTGCCTGAATGAGGGCAAACTGCAAGGTACCAGTGGTCATTACCAGTTCAGCAGCCTGTGGAGCAAATGCAGTAGACAGGCCCCAGCACCCTGGGCACCAGCCTCCATTGCTATTGTTCCCTCTGCCACTTAGGTCTGTTTTCAGAGCTGCTCACAAAAGGCCCTGAGCCCAGGTTGGCCTGGGTCGCTGCAGGCTCTCTGCACTCCTCTTGCCTTTTGCTATTTGTGCTCCAGAAAGTGGTGCATTAGAGGCTGCAGGGAGGCCATTAGCTGATAAAAGGCCTGCAGGCCCCAAGGCCTGGTTAATTAGCTGCTCTGAGGGAGGCCCAGGAGATGGGGCAGGGGCAGGTGATCTGCAAAGACCTCCTGAAAACATCTCTTCTGTTCCCACTTCCATGGCTTTGTGTGATGACGCTCTCCCCCGCAACTTGCTCTGCTCATTAGGGAGCAGCAGCTTTGTCCCCTGCCCTGCGGGTTGGCACTCGAAGCTGCTGCAGGCTGATGCAAGCAGCTCAGGCCAGGAGCTTGGAAATTCAATGGTTATGTGAAGACTGTGCTCCCAGCTCATGGCAGTACCTGATTCTTTCATCATGCTTTTCATCCTTAGGTTGCAGTGCTGTCAGTATAGTCTTTGTGCCTTTGGATGGGAAATCCAAGGCATAGGCAGGAGGAAATGACTTGCCCCACATGCCAGTAGCAGAGCTGGGATGAGAATCCATGTCTCCTGTGGCCCTGTCCAGTGCTTGTTCTTTAGGCAATGCTGCTTTTCTAGTCAGCCAGTTGAAATGGCCACAGAGGAGTACATCCAAGTGGGCAGAGCACTGCCCTGAGACTTTGAGACCTAATTTCAAGTCTCTGCTCTGCCAGAGGCTCCCAAGGAGATGCTGGGCAAGTCTCTTAACAGGTGTGTGAAACATGCTCC